TTTTTCTAAGAACGTTTCTATTTTTGGTTAGGCTCGCTCTATTAGCTTAAATTTTGCCAGAAAGTTAACTGGAAATAGAACAGGTTTATCGGGAATAGAATGAAATTAATGGTAAACGTAAAATAAACAGCCTACCAATATTGCACTGCCATCATCTGACCACGTGAATCTTTTTTCACCCTCGTATCGATAAGGAGCTGAAATATTCAAATAATTAATAAGAAGAATGGCAGCCAAAATAAATTTTAAAAAAGTAAAAAAAGCACCAGTCCGTTCGATTTCCCAATCTTTCTGTTCACACGTTGGATAGAATATATAAAAAAGGAAGCTGATAACTGAAAAATGAACAATATATAAATTTCTATGTAAAATTTTTTTATAAAATTTTTCATATGAAATTGCAAAAAAAAACCGATAAAAACATCGACTTACTTCTCATCAAAAGCATCCAAAGAGTATAAAAGAGTTTCCCAAGCGATTTATTAGGATTTGTTAGAAATTGATAAAAAAATTCCTTGAAACAAAAGTATGTATAATGCAAGAAGCCACCTAAATGATAAATTCCGAAATAATTTTGTCGCAAAAGAAAATGAAAAAAAAATATTTCGCTAAAAAAAGCAGCAACATTACGGCATTAATAATTTAATTTATAATTAAAAATAATTTAGAATTTATGACAATCAAGTAAATGAATTAGTAAGCGACTAAATAAATAAAAGAAAAAATGCTACGGGAAAAATTAAGAAAACCAAGGATTAACTTAAATAATGCCTAAATGAAAACATACGATTCCATGCTTCTTCATATGCCCATTTTTGTCTATAATAGCTCAGTGGTAGTCGAAACATACGAGGATGTTCATATTTTACCGAACCATCAGCACGATAACTTTTTCTGAAAAATTATAAGAATTTTACATTATATCAACTGATTTTAAATTATCAAATTTAAAAATATATAATCAAAATAAATATTCAAAATAAAAGACCAAAGATTAACTTAAATAAGAAAAAAAGAGAAGTTAGAATCAAAAGGACTGAGAAAAATCTTACGAAGTTCCATACGTGTAATCTGTTCGATAATCACTGAAAAAAAATGTAATTAAAAAACCAGTTAAAATTCAAAAAATTTTAAAAATTTATATGAAAATAAGCATTTTCATTTTAATATTAATATATGGTACCAGAATCTCTTAAGAATGATTCTTAAGATGAAACGCTGATGAAAAAATCAGTTTTGCGATGAAAATATATCGTAGGTAATAAAATTATAGATTACGATGTTGGCGGAAAAAAAAAGAATAGGATGAAAAGGAAAACAAAAAACGAACACGTGTCAGATAAAAATGATATAGCGATATGTTCAATGCCAACCAACAAACTTCACTGACAATAATTTAAATCAAATTAAAAAAAAAATCAAGCAAAATGACAAAAACCTACGGCATCAGCTGTAGGTGATTAAGCGAATGCCTAAGAGCAATATAAGGCGTTACTCAAAGATATTAGATCCAGGACAAAAAAATTTTATAGCGGCAATATTATATATTTTCGTAAGTTATTTTGAAAAATTTTATTGCAATTTCTTCGTATTTTTCCGGTTTTTTTATTACATCGTAAAATAGTAATTGTTCCTACTAATTGTTTCTTTTCTTTTTTCTTTTAAAATTTTTTCGTTATAAAGTAAATTGGTATATTTATTACAAGCAAAATGGAAAGTAATAAATAATAAACCTTTTTTTTTCGCTTCCACCTTTCAAGATGCCTCAAAGATTGTAACTCAATTCAGAAGAAAAACTTAACAACGATGTTTCTCTAAGTCAATAAAATTTAAAAAGTGACTCTGACAAAGAAGATATTTGTATGTAATAATAAATAAAATCAAACCTATCCAAATCGAGGAGACGATCTAAATCTGACTGCGTTAGACTTGAACGACCAATCGTTGGCTCTCTAAAAAACAAAACAGAAAAAAGTTTCTATCTTTTTGTCGAATGGTATTAGAGAGGAACATTTCATACAAATAATTAAAAGAATTATAAAATTTCAAATGCAAAAATGCAAAAAAGAAAAATTTTCTTCAAAAAATAAAGTATTTTCTATATTATTCAGCAACAAAAAACAATTTCTTATACAAAATGAAAGAAAAATTAAGCAAAAAAAAATTTTTTTACCTCGAAAACAATCCAAGCATGATGAACGATTTTGTTCTTCCAATGAATATCTATAAAATAAATTTCTATTAAAATTTGTTTTAGCAAAAATCATGAAAAAATTCAGATGCGGTTTTAAATAGAACCAATTAAATCAATTTCCAAGCCTTATTTTCAAACCTATATAAATGTATTTTATATAAATTTAGTTTTAATTCGTTAGGCGAAATGAGATTGGTATTTATCTGGCCACATTTCGCAATCCTGTTATGTGGCTACTATCGCGAATTAATACGAATGAACTTCATTTACTGATTAGATGAAACCGAGTCATATAATAGATGGCAAAGCGAGGAAGTCCAATTAAAAAAAGATATCAAATGTCAGTGAAATATAGGCTCATATGTCGAAAAAAAGAGGACGCTTGTAAAACGCTTTACCCTTACAACTAGTCTTGCCAACCCAATTCGTAATCCGCTATTAAGAATGGAAAAGAAATTTGTTACCATTACTGACATCAGTTATCAATTAACAGTTATATCAGTTATCAGTTACGAAATTTAAATTTGTTGCTATCGTATTATTACTAATTATCATTGCTACTATCATTATTCCGCTATATCATTATTTTATTTATTGCTTATTGCTTATTACAATTACAATTCATTATTTTATTATTTTCATAATAATTTATCACAACTACTTTTTGCCATTATCATAACCACTGATATTGTTATATTACTATAAATATTATTATTCTTTAATCATTGTCATTATTTTTAATATAATTATTATATGAAATAATAAAAAAGAAACAAGGGAGAGAGCAAAAATATAAGGAGAACTCTTGGACGGACTTCACAGCCCAGTATTAAAGATAACCGGATTTATCCACTAATTCTCAAGCTGATCGTAAACACAATCCACAAAAAACACCAAGACCCTCCAATCCAAATCAACAAACTGCACCCACAAAAATTGAATTGTGTCACATCTGAATATCTCTAAATTTCGGCTTTGACGGTCTCGGCTCCACATTAAATAGTGATCCGATTAATAGTATGTCTAGATTAATTTTTTTTAGCATAAACCAAGCACAGCACAAAGTGACGTTTAGAAGGTTAGTGGTGCCGGGTAAGGTGCGAAGGGGGACAAGAAAGGTAAATGAGTAAAAGGAAATAAGGAAGGAATGAAAGGAGGAATGAGGGACTTGAAAGACTGATAATGAATGGTATTAATACTGAGATTATAAATCTCTTTATACATGGGTGACATTATTAAAAATTTTAAATTTTAAAATTGGGCTTAAGTTTGGTGCAAAAATAACACTGCTTGGTTACAATTGTTGATGCCTTGAGTAAAAAACTGTGAAGAGAAATATTTTTGCGCAACTTCAACCCTTTATCTCTGGTAGTGTTAAAGTGTTCAAATTGGAGAATAGTTGGAAATAGTTATGGCCGAATTGAGTAGATTTTGTTCGATTCTATTCTTATTCTAACAGTTCCCACCATTATTATTTAAGCAGGCTGCGCTGGCCATAAAGCTCGTTTCCAAGCGATAAGATACGATCGGATGCTATCTTTGATAGTAATAGCAGCAGCTATTCCTTTTTCCACCGTTCATATATCGCTGTTTATATATCGCTGGTCCTCCTCTACGTCTAAAACCCTTTATCAATCCTGGATCAGACTTAATTGTCTGATTCTCTTAACTTTTACTGAATCATGGATTAAATCCTTTAGATTGGCTTTATAAATAGAAAAGAGACTAGAATTGTAGCGCCGTAGGAAATACGTCCAAAACAAATGAAACCACGATCAGTGGACAGTTAAAGAGATTAGCCAATGGCTAGGAGGTTATGGATCTTCGCCAAAAGAAATCTTATTGAGAAAGTATTAAACTGTGGATTAATGAAAGATAATTCAATGGGAGTTGACAGAAATAGAATGACATATCGAAGTTTGGACCAAAATTTCCTTTACTATATAATGCCTTAATGCCTTTTAAGTTTACACAGAACATTGCTTTTCCTTGGTATGCTCTAGATTTTAGATTTTTTTTTATCCCTTCTTCAAATGCTCTATTATCAATTGCAGAATGAAACAACTTGGAATCATTAAAAAATCCGGATGGTACTAGCAAGTACAAGCCAGTTGTATTTCTAACATAGTTTTCTGGCAAAAAATTTCTTATAGAAATTAATTAGTGGTTCATCTACGACGAGCTTTCGTTGCAAAACGAATAGTCCAGATTTAGATTTTTAATGGTATCTTCATTCCATGAAAGGAAAAAAAATCGAGACAATAAACAACAATTTATTTAAACGAAAAACAAGCAAAATATATATTTGATCAGTAAATGATAAAAACTGAAACAAATAAGAACAGCAAAATGGCAGTGAGTTTTGTGAGTTCAGTTGCTCATAGGGCAAACCATAAAAATAATTAGGAAAAAACTATCGTATGCATAATAATTACGCATAATTTATTATCTAAAATATTTGTCTAATCAGCTGATGAAAATAACTTGTAACGAAACTGGGAAGAAGAAAAGTGATACAGATGCCTTCAAAATATCCAAGCAGCAATCCTAAATAATCAAAAAATTAAAGTCAAAAAATATCTTTGGTTTGAAAAAGAATTTACTAAAATGTAATATAAGCCTTTGTGATATAAATTTGAAACTAATAATAATTTAATCAAAATTAATAATTAAGCAAAAGAACTATGAAATTATTAAACGAGCAATTCGTATATCGGTGAATTGAACTTTTCAGCCACTATGAGAGAAAAATAGAAATTATTGGAAAGGAAAAATTAGTTGGAAAAAATTGAAAAATTAAAAAAGATTAATTATCAAATGAAGAGAGATAAAAATACTTGTAAATAATAAAACGACCTGCAAAAACATCAGTCAAATAATGTCGTCCCATCATAACGCGACTCAATGCCACTAGAAACGGAAAAACTCGAATTATTTCACGAACGATTTTTAGATGAGATGAGGAACGAAGCGTTAACCTGGAACACGAAAAAGAAATTAGGAAAAAAGGAACATGCAGTAAGCAGTGCATTATTTTATGCAATTACAACCCTCTCCAGGCACAATTCATATTCCTATTTTTCTTAACATAAGATTCATTTTGGGCAGCTTAAGATTAGATAGCCTCATACAATTGAATTTAAACTAAGATGTACAAAAATTACCAAAAAAATGATAATAGAGCTGCTCTTGATGAATGACCCGATGGAAATGAATACTGATTGACAATTGGTATGTCAACATACTTTAAAATTTTTTAAATTAGAATGACATTTATGAATTTATCATAAATTTATTAAAAATAATATTTAATCATATTAAAAATGGAAGAAGCAATTACTTGATCAGGGATATCATTTAAAGGCCTTTTTCTTCTCACCAATATTTTCATTAGACCAACAAGTGCCAAATCAAACATCAAAGCTTAAAAAAATCCCATTATCATTGTTGTATATCTGATACAGGATAAAAAAATAAATTCTCCAGTGAACTAGATTTTGAGCCAAAACTTTTCAGCCAAATCGGCCCAACTGAATTCATTATTGATTCATTAATTCATCAATCATTAACTTTTATCAACCATTATGTAAAATATCAAAAAATATTTACCGATAACGATGGATTCAAGCTTATATATAATGATATTTTCCGCGTTGACGTAAATCGCAGCCAAAAGTGTTGATGAACTAAAAAATAAAACAATCAAGTCTAACTGTGGCAAAAATGAAGCTTAAGCTAAACTAAAATGGCCGGTAATTTAATAATTCAATGGGGAAAATTTTTGCATCTTTGAAATTGTCAAATTAGGAGTTGAAACTTTATAATAAAATCTTCAACATGAAAGTTTCAGAATTGTACCAAAAGACCTAATAGAAACCTTAAATTAAAACTTCAAATATATAAGTGGAAACAGAATAAAACTCACAAATAAAAATAAAATATTACTACCTTAGAAAAATCCATGGAAGAAAATGAAAAAGCCATTCAATATAGAAAAATACACTAATTGGTATAAATTGCGAGCGTTTCGAAAGGAATAAAGTAGCATCACGATCCCAAACCCGTAATAGTTCACAACCTGAAATTCTTACTACTAGTACCAATAGTTTATAATGGCAACCAAGCGCCTTTGCTTCATCAGCTATATCAAAGATCATACATTAAATTCAATTCTTCGCAGATAATTAGAAATCTTATAGATCCATCTAAAACAAAAATCAAGGCAAATTCTTTCTTCGTTCTAAAATTCCATTTTTATTTTATTATTTGTAAAAAATATATTTGTAAAATTTCTTAAGTTTAAAAATAACAAAGAATTTCCAAAATAAAAAATAGTAAAATAATTACTAACCCATTTTTCAGTGGTTGTAATTCAGCACGATCAATATTTTTTTTAAAAAAAAGGTTTTATTCACTCGCAATTTTCAACAAAATCGTTAATTTTTGCAATTTCTTAAGCGTTGGCACTTTAAATAATTGTATCAATGAGAAATTAGTTAAACGTTATTCTTTTTTGCACTTTAGAGAAATAATTTTAACAAGGGAAATAGTAAGAAATATTTTTTAATATTGATAATATTAAGGCAATTATTTAATAAATATTGAAAAAAAATTTGAATAAAAATTTAGATTTATAAAAATATAGAAAACTAGTTTTCTATATAAGAAGCATACACATCAGTCTTCAATTAGCAACGCAATTTAAAAGAATGATAAATGATAAATCATTTATTTTGAGTTTAAATCAAACAGGTTTTAAGAATAAATTGTAAAATTTAAAAAAATACCAACACCAATCGCAAAAGGATTTTTACTTCTTCCAAATTACATATTTCAAATTAATATAAATAAAAAGCAAATTTCTAAAACAATACAGTGAAAGCTACTATGTTTAAAATGGCAATCAAATGAACTGAAAATTAGTTTATCTATTCTTATCAATACGGCTCGCTAACTGGACCATAAAAATTTAGTTCAAAGAGTCATTTGACGATAGAAGTATAGGGTTAGCTATTCCCACCATCACTATTTTTTTTATCGAAAATAAAATCACAGTAGCAGCTCTAAAATCAGACCTACAATTCATAGCCAATTTATAGCTAATCAATTTAAATCTCATTGAAAAAAATCATCCTTTCATTGAATTTTAATTTTAAATAAAACAACTATATTTTATCCTGTGTTTTAATTTGCATAACTTAAGCGGAATTTTTTTCCCTCAATTTCCTATGGTAAACCGAATATCGAATCGAGAAACTTGGCAGCACCTAACCACAAATAACCAATGGTAATAAGCAATAGAAGAATTAGTGTGACGAAAAATTTAAAATTGGTTACCATTAAATATTTTTCAAAAGATTATACATTGAATAAAACAGCAATACTACATGAATATAACATTCATCCATATCTGAAGATAAATTTAAAGATACGTTTAAAGAAACTTGGCAAATAAGATGAAATTATGATTATAGTTACAAAGTTTCATTGCATAAAATAATATTAATATTAATATTTATAGATTTTTTTCAGAGAATTATTTTTTTCTGCGTTTTTCTAACATGTATGCGGCCATTGGATCAGCAGAATGTATAGTTGTCAATTTATAAGCTTCAATATCTGCCTCAGATGGTGCTGATACCTCATATGTCGAATGATAGCGACGTTTACGATCGCCCTTAAAAACGCAAAATTTATAATAAAATTTCAATATTGCACTAAATATACAAAAAAAAGGTAAAATTAATAATTGCATCTAATAATAACTAATGAATAATAAATTATAAGCAATTTTTAGAGACTGGATTAAATTGGACTGAATTTTTTTAAATTTAAATTAAACTTTTAACCCCATGCATTTAAAACTCATTTATTTTAATGGTAATATCTCACCTGCTTCAGTTCTTCATCAGCCTTAAGCCACTGTTTTTCAGCTCTCTTTATAGCTTGCTTTAGATCTGAAGATGCTTCTTCATCCGAGCTAACAGAAGATTTAACATTATGACCTTTCATATTAGATCTATTGCTTCTTGTTTTTTTTTCCTCTTTGCCTTTTCGCTCTTTTTGCCTCTTTCTTTTCAACCGTCTACTTTCTTTCCGTTTCTCCTCTCGCATTCCTGAAAAATAAATTGAAATAGAAAACTTTCTAACATAAGAAAATCAATTGAGTTTTAGAAAAACAGTACTTCTCTCTAATTCTTTTTCACGCTCATGTTCCCTTTGCCTTTCTTCTTCAGAATCAAGTTGTTCTGAATCGGAATCGGAATTGGATTCAGATTCTGAATCTGAACTTGACGATGATGAAGACGCTGCATTCTTGATTTCCTCCTTAACCCCTTTTGATGCATTTTGAGGACCTAAAACAACGGTAAGAATTTCGAAAGAAAAAAAAAATTTCAATAAGACTTTATATATAAGTCAAAAACAATACCTGTTAAAGGTGGCGAAGAGTGATTCGGAAAAGGGGATATCGAAGATTCTTTTTTGATATCACTCACAGAAGGACCAGTGCAATAGGAATTTTTGAAAAAAGAGTGACAACAACTATAACCCCATCTATTTGCTTCCCAATAAGAGCCCCAAACCGAAGTATGATTATTTATATATCTGAAAAGTATTTGCTATTTCGTTTTTCAATAATTTTTATAATGGAATTATCAATATATATTAAATTTTTATTTATTTGTCGCTTACTTGTCTTCCTCATACCGACTTCTAATTGTTGGTCTTTCCTCTCCTTTAACAACTTTGCCCGTCCTGCTATATTCAACGTAATGCTCACTTTGAGCAAGGAGAAGTTCTTTAGCAGGCGCTTTTAAATATTCCTCAAAGCAGAAAAAAATTATTTATGGAAATGGAAAATTAAATTAGAAGATAAAATATCAAAATATGACTTGATAGTAGAGATTCATCCTTTCATACCTCACCACCGTATTTTTCAAGAAGTTTTCTTTTATGTTCTTCTTCAGCCTGAGACTTTTGTCCCTCAAATTCTTTTTTCAGTGCTTCTAATTTTGTGGGCTCAGCAAGCGCATGAACATCAATCCCTTAAGTTTAAAGGATTAAAAAAAGGAAGAAGTCAAAATTTTAAATCAAAATTTTATGAGCAATTTTAGAATAATCGACTATATTTTGAGAAAAAACTAACACTAACTCTTATTTTAAACAATTTTTTGAAATATTAATGCTTCTGTAGCGATTTAGAGAATTTTATTTGATAATTCAAAAGTAGCTAACTACCTTTGCATCTAGCTTGCCATGCAAAAACCTGCGCTTCATTGGCCTGCACTACTTCCCCTGTATACCGGATAAAATTTTCGCCTGAAAATTTGGCAGCCTCCTTCTCTTTGCCCGGAATGTTCTAAAAAAAATTGCGGAAAATACTAATCAAAATATTATTTTTTGAAATAAATACAGGCTTTAACCAACAGGATTGATTTAGGATTGAAAATTCAAGAAATAAATAGAAAAATAAATCAATTTTGATCTTTCAAAAAAAAGTTACGATATTTATTTATTTATTGATAACCAGCCAAGCAGGGAGACAACGCTTGTAAAATAACAGAAAAAAAACACAAAAAAAAATAACATAAACAAAATTAATTATAAAACAATATGACAAAAATTAACATATACATATACATACAACCAGATAAAATTCTATTAAAAACTTACAGCAAAAGGATTTTCTCGCATAGAACGGGATTTTGGATCATAATATGGTCCATTTGGATCCAAGTTATATAAATATTTTGCAGTATCTTCTCTGTAAAGTCAAATTTTATTAAAAAATTAAATAATCAACTTTAAAGACTATGTAGGGAAAGTATATGAATATATTTATTATATTTATTAAAAAAGTTACATCTAAAAAAAAAATTCCCAACAAATTCAGATCGAAATATAATACCTTATTCGAAGATTTCTAACAGTAATACGAGTACGAGAATCCATATCAACTGTCACTCCTGCCATGTCTGCATCATCAGCGTACATATCTTCATCAGCCGGTTGGTCAGATGCGTTTGTTTCCTTCGCTCCTTCATTCACAAGACCTTCCTTCATCTTAAAAACGATGCTTTAATTACTTCATGTCAAATATTTCTGAATTTATAAAGATAAAGAAAAATAAAATATTGAAAAAAAAGTAAAAAATGAAAGATGAACGACAAAAGTTTCATTTAAATGCAATAGGTAAATATTCTCCACCATAAATATGAAAAAAAATAACGATCTTATTTACGATTAAAAATCTCAAAAATTAATTACCCTTTCTTCTCGCAACATTTTTCGCGCTTGTTCGAGTTTTTCATATTCCTCAACGACTTGTCGGTGTGATTCTGGATCATAACCATTCCAGCGATCACGTTTCGCATCCCAAGCCAGAGTCAACTTTGGCTTTAAACATAAAATATTCAACAACATAAATCAACATTGAAAGGTTGCAGTCCATAGAAAGAAATCATTTCAAAAAACTTTTAAGCGTTCAATAATATTTACCTGTATATACTCATCAGGCGCAATATCGTCTTCTGTCCAACGAGCACCTAATTTACGAGGCCTCTCGAAGCAATCCTTTTTTGAATGCGTCATAGCTCCACAGTTTTCACATGCTCCCTTTCATTCAAATAATGAATAAAACAATAAAAAATTTTTGAAAGGAAGGAACAATTTTTGATGTTTTAATTATCTGAAGCGAATTTATGAAGATTATGAAGAAAATACTTTTCTGTATTTTGAAGCGACTTTATTGGTAGCTCCTCGCTTATACCATTCATCAATCGCTGATAATTTTATTTGCCTTTCTTCATGAGGCCTTTGATGCTGTAAAGAAAATTTTTGAAGAGTAATGAGTCTCTGAATCTTTAAAAATTTAACTTTTACTAAAAAAACAAATTAAATATTTTACTGAAAAGAGAATAAGGAATTTTACTCGATTCTTCTCACTATTACTCAATAATAATTAATAATAATAAATATTTGACCATTAAGACACCAGTGATAAAAGCTAAAATCTGATGAAAATAAAATAACAATAAAGAAGCTAAAAAAAAATTTATTAATAAAAATCGACCGCATATTTACGAAAATTTCATAAATTAATAAAAACTTGGGCGTCAAAAAAATGCAAATTTAAAAAACATTCAAAAGTTTCTTGCCACAATATTTCCATTCAACTTTTTATAAACTATTAATATCGACAATTTTACTTTTTTAGATGAATTTCACTAAAAAGGAAGAAAAAATCCAAAAAATAAAAACGGATTTGCAATCGCTATCCATTCGATATGAAAAATAAAATAAAATGAATAACCTGCAATGTTGGCCCCTCGGAAGGCACGTACCAAGGATTTTTTGCAATGAATTCAGGAATGTGTGGATTGATGTCCCTCCCAGTAACAACATCAACCATAGCTGGAGCAATTCCCAATTTTCGTTCCTCTTCCAAATCCTAAATAAGAGGATAATAAATTTTATATTTAATTTGAAAATATTTTGAAGTAATGGTAGATCAATTACATCAGTAATCTGCTACCTATAGGCATCGCAGAAAAATATTATAAATATTATTCTTCTATGTTGAGTATCGAAAAGTACTCAATAAATTAATATTTTAACGACCAAATCATAAATTATTAAAGAATAAACCGACGAATTGATAAGCGGTAAAAAAAAAAGTTTATGAAGAAAAACCTTTTGTTTTCTGTATTCATCCTTTGTTTTTCGGCCCTCCTGCACTTCTCCGATTCCAACACCGCGTTTTATGAGCTGCGATACAGGTGTTTGCAATAAATTTGCCATATTTACCTCAAATATCAATAATTTTTATTTTACTTACCTAGCGAATTTTTTATGTAGTTAAATCAGTGACGCATTTAAATCACTCGAAAATGCAAAAATATGGAAAAAAACCAGCCAAAAACAAAAATATAAATAAAAATATACGATTATGAATTAAAACAATGCTGTACAAAGAAAAATATGTGGGATACGGAAAAAGGTGTGGGTTTCTGCAGCTTTCAGGAATGGTACTAGACTGAGCGATTAGGAAATACCATACCCCTATAAGCAGTGCAGACAGGCTAATCAACAATCTTCGGTACTTTATCAAAAAGAAAATAATATTTTATGAAATAAAAACATATGATCGAATAATAAAAATAAGGTTGACGTAGAAATGTAGAGAAAGCAAACAAATAAAAAAAAATTGCACCGAAACACCTAAAACCCTCTACCCTTTCAAATCAAAAAGCAACCCCATAAAAACCGTAATCATACGATCGTTTCAAGAGTTGCCTTTTCAAAAAGATTTCTATTTCTCGTACTATTTTTCGCATTTGAATTAAGCATTCAAACAAAATTTCCTAATGCTAGTACCATAGGTATTTGTTTTATTTTATTACCGCTTTCAACTTTATTTAGTTTGTAATTCTGTGAAATTCGTTATTTCGGTTAATAATTCTAATTAAATATTGAGAATTTGGGTAATTTTAGTTTTTAAACTGACAATTATAGTAATATAAAATTTTGAAATAATAAAATTGTTTTAATAGAATGTTGGATTCGATTGAAATCAGTGGACCATCAGAATTTGGCAATAATTTTGTCTATCCTATTGGTTTGAATTGTGATAAATTGGTAACGCCGGGTGCGACAATCAGTCGCAATGTCAATTTTATGAGGTTCAATTTCTTTAAAATAATTCTCTTCTAATTTTTATTTTTTTATTTTGTTTTGATTTATTTCCAGTTCTTCTATTTTTTCTATATTTTTTCTTCGATTCTTATTCGTATATTTATATTATTATTTATATTATTTTCTATGTTACTGAATTTTTTGTCGTTTTTCCTCAAAGAATTTAATTGATTCCATAATAATATGCGATAACGCCATAATAAGACGGTATTTTGTAATTTAAGCTGTATTTTTTAAATTCAATTTCAGGGGTCATGGAACTTATACACGAGATGATGAACTTATTGCGTCAGTTGGTGGTGTTGTGGAACAAGTCAATAAGTTGGTCTCAGTTAGACCGATTAAAAGCAGGTTAATTCTTTTAGATCATTTCTTATGTCAGCAAACTTTTCAACATTTATAGACTTTTAAACGTATTTTTCTTATCAAATTTTATTACGAAGTCGGAAAATTGGAGAAAAAATTTTTGTCTTAATATGTTTTGAAATTCTATAGTCCATTGTTCTACAGTCACTATATAAGTATATTCTTTTATTTTTACATTATATAAAATATTTTTAGATACAATGGTCATGTTGGAGATGTCGTAGTTGGTCGCGTAATTGAAGTTCAACAAAAACGATGGAAAATTGAGACAAACTCCCGATTACATTCCACATTAATGCTTTCGAGTGTTAATCTACCCGGCGGTGAATTGGTGATTAACTTTTTCATTTTTTTCTATTAATAGAGGTTTAAGTTATTAATTCTTTATAAAAACTTTTTGCTCTTTTATTTTTGGCCATTTTGTACCCTTTTTTAGCATTTCAAATTGTTTTCGGTATTCATTTCGATATTCATGAGCTATTCTGTTAGATTACGGTTTAATCGATTGTTTTGCCTTAACTTTTTAAAAAATAATTAAATAATTCAACCATCGCTGAATTTTTTAGTAAATTTCAGGTTAAATATTGAGTAAATGAGAAATTAGTATAGAAGCAATGGTATAGCTGTAAAAAATTCTCAAAGCAGCCCATAATTTCAAACGTTTCAAAGATAATAAAAATTTTTTTGATTTTTTGACATTTTCAAGAGGCGTAAATCGTTAGAAGATCAGTTGATGATGCGCGAATATTTGAAAGAAGGCGATCTTATCAGCGTAAGTAAATATTTTAAATCGATAAAAACATTTTTTTATCAAAAATATAAAAATATTTTTAGACAGCTTTTAATTTTTTTCGCTATTTACAGATTTTTCAGTAGGCGAAAAATTTTAGTCCATACTTATCCTTAAATATTATTTTTATTCATCCATTCATCCATTCATTAATGGTAATGATATAGAGCAAGTATCTTAGCTCTTTTCTTCTTTTATTATTAGGGATTATTTTGCATTTGATCCATATAAATGATTTTAGGCCGAAGTGCAAAAAGTGCAATCTGATGGTCAGTTATCACTGCACACTAGAAATCTTCGTTATGGCAAGGTAAAATATGTCTGCTAAATTTTGAATTTAAATAAAATTTTGAAACTCGTTTTTGCTGGAGGCACCGGGGATCTATTCCCAGTTGGAGTAAAGCTATCTTTCAAAAAATTCACGTAATGAACTAATTACATAATTGTACTTCTAGTCTTATATTAAAGACCTCGAATCAAAATTTCTAATTTGTACTAACAGCTAGCAAAGCCTAGTTTTTTCTTAGTTTTTTTTGCTTTTCAGTTTTTTTTAAATTTAGTGAAATTTAGTTTTTATTATTATTCATAAATTTAGTGTAGTTAAAATATGCATATTTGGTCAGCATCATAATAATTTTATTTTAAGCTCTCGATGGGAACTCTTGTAAAAGTTTCACCATATTTGATTAAACGCCGGAAAACTCATTTTCATACGTTTCCATATGGTATTTCAATAATATTAGGATGTAATGGCAATATTTGGATTTCACCTGTAACTAGTGAAGATTATGGATTAACTGGAGGATATGTTCAAAATCTTGAAGAAGTCATTTTTTTTTTATCTATTTTCTTTTTTGATATTTGTAAAATTATAGGCATTAAATATCAATATCAATATCAAAAAAAAAATCTTTTTAATTTTTGTAAATTTTTTACAATCCAGGTTATTTCTATGGAAATTCGCACTGCGATTGCACGAACTGCTAACTGCATTAATATTCTTGCGAAATATAATATTCCAATTTACGATACTACAATTATTTTGGCTTATGAGGCTTCGAATGATTACGAGGTATACAATTAAAAATTTCCATAAATTTCCTTGTTTTAGTTTTAAATTATTCGAAAACATTAATTTTAATATTTTTATAATCATTTTCTCTTGAATATTATAAAATATTATATTATAAATATTATAAAAACAAAAAAATCTACTTTTTTTTATAAGGAAATGAGGGAAAACACATTGGTGAAATTCGAAAATGTTGTTTAAAATAATATAGTGACTAATTTGCTTAGCAGTTAGTCATTTTGATTGAGCAATCATTAATTAAATGTTATTTTTTTTTATTATTATTCATATATACTATTGTATAAAATACTAAATTTACAGGTGAAATATTTGTTGAGAGCAAGCATTGCTCATAAAGTTGCTAATGATGTTGTTGAAGAGTTGAAAAAAGAAGATGAAGATTTCGTTATGTGAATATTTTTGCAAATAAATTACCTCGTTTGTTTCATATGATTCCATTGAATTTTTTTTTCCAAGAGTTTGCTGTAGAAATTACGTTAAAAAAAAGCCTTTGAAATCTTTATATTTCAATTTTATTCATAGTTTTTTTTTATAAAAACCAATCAAGCATGACAGTAAGCACCATGTGCTTATATTAATAACAGGCAAAATAGTAAAATAATAGAAAAAGAAAATATGACAAAAACTAATAAAATAAAGAGGAAATAAAGAGGAGTTACAAAAGGGTTATAGTTCGAAATGAATGTAGTGCATATTGCACATACATAATCAAATGGTAAAAATCAATGTCTTCAAACTTTCTGCTTCTTGTGAACTTTTTGAATAATATCATAAATGATATTATCAAATCTTTCTTTAAAAATAACTTAAAAAGACGCGCAAACTATATTATTAGGTAGTTTATTCCAGTAATTAATAGTGCGAATAATGAAGTCCTTAGTTCAGTTTTAAATTTGCATATAGGTTTTTTTTAGTAATTTTAGCCCACTAGACCTTGTGTTTAGATTTGACGCAATCTAATTTAACATAACCATATAGAATTTTATAAGAATTTTAAATCGAGTTTCGTTCAATTTGACGAAGGAATCCAAATTATATCACTGAAGCTATATTTTTTAATTAAAATTGCTATTAGGAGAGGGGCGATATATAAATAGAAATCATGTAAAAAAAAGCCTTTGAAACCTTTATATTTTAACTTTATTTATAGTCCTTTTTTTATTAAAACCAATCAAGCATGAAGTCTTTCAATTATTTATTTCAGGTGATTTCTGATATCTTGAGGAATAACAGGTGATTTTGTAGTCGAGAATAGGCAAAACGAACGCTTTATACATTTTGATAAGAAAACCTTCAGTTCTGATCTTAAACGAACGAAAAATAAAATTTAAAATAAAATGAAAATTTTTGAGGATTTCTTTATTATGGTTCCGCAGTGATTGTCAAGGTCAAGATTTCCGTCCATGATTATCATGATTAAGATCAGAAATATTCGTTAAATCATGTTAGAATTAATAAAAAGATTAGGAAGATAAACCTTCCGAACTCACATGCAAAATTCTACACTTTTAAAGAAAAGGATAATTTGCCTGTCGTATGAGACCAGTTAGTAGTCCTATTGAGGTCATCCTGTAGTGATGATAGATTATCCAATCTACCGTATGAATAATAAACAGCTTTTATTGGAAATATTTTAGAATTTCAAAAAGGCCACGTTAACTTAAAGATGAAAACTTTTTAAAATGTGATAATGATTTATGGAATATGTGATTTTTTTTTGATGAAAAGAATATTGCTCCAGTTTTTTTTTCTGTACATTATTTGAGAAATTTTTAAAAAATGTATTGTTGATGAATTTTATGATCTCCTATCTCTATAAATCTTTTAAATTTATATTTTTATATTTATGAAAATATAAAAATAAATTTGATTGATAAGCGAAATATGGTTTAAAAAATTTTTTTCTACCCAAATTTCGATAGATAAGCAAATTTTATGAACAAAGCAATATATGAAAAGAATATATGAACTGGCAATTTGTATTTTGCAAATTTCAATAAGTTCCCTGAATAAAATTTCAGTATTTTCAGTAAGTTAGTTTCCTCGTTTTAGGCGATTACTTTGGAAATTATGAATTTAAGGGACCTTTGACATATTTAACTTTAACTGACTTTCATCTTTCTGAAAAATGGCAACACCAAAGTTTTGAAGAAAATCAAACCTATCCCTTCCGTCATTTTTGTCGTGATCACTAAAGGTATTTGTTGATATAATATTCATGGTGTATTTTTCCACGGACAATTAAACTTGTTTGATAATAAGTTCGATTGGTCTGAATACATACCACTTTTTTTTTTTAAGAGCCCTCTCCATTATTGGTTAAACTCGCTCCGTTGGCTTTTTGCACTAGACAAATGTGCCGGGGAATCCCACTGGCGATAGAAGTACAGGTGAGTCGCCAAGCATTACTCGGATTTTGGACACGTTTACTTTGCCTAGTGCGGAGAGGACATTTAGCATCGGCGCTCCGAATTGTGCAACAATCCACTGAGGCATTTCCGTTCCTGCTCTCATTCCATTAAGATATTTCCGCTCCTGCTCTCATTCCATTAAGATATTTCCGCTCCTGCTCTCATTCCATTGAGGTATTTCCGCTCCTGCTCTCATTCCATTGAGATATTTCCGCTCCTGCTCTCATTCCATATTAATATGCTAAAATCCATCGCATAATTGCATCAATTATTAGTAAAACTGATAATAAATTAATAAAAATAGAATTAATAATAATAATAATATATTATAATAAGTAATAATAATAAATAATATCAAATAATGATAATTAAGAATAATAAATAATAATAAAATAAATAGTATTTTAATAATATTGAATAATAATAAGTAATAATAACTAAAAATAAAATAAAGAGTGGCTTTGCTTATAATTAATGTAATTTTCTATCGCGGGGTTTTTCTTTGATTTTCAATCCAAGGCGAAATCAAAGGCATCAATCTTAAAGGCACTGAAGATAATCCCTTAAATCTTTTATACGATTCAAGTCATAAATATTTGTTAAGAAATCTCATTTCCATATGGTCATTGAATAATATATAATTATTATTATAATAACAATCATAATATTAATAATAATAATAGTAATAATAATAAAAGAATTAAAACGCCCAACCTATTAATGCGTCCGGAATTCGCCTATTTTTATAAATTTTTGACATCTTATAAAATTTATTCAATTGTCATATGGCCATTTGTCAAAATTTTACCGTTTCTTAGCAAATAATATTTAAAAATGTCTTTGGTGAGTTAGTTGTCCTAAAATTTTTAGGATTTATATATAGACTTCAATATATAGACTTATATAGAATATATAGACTTCAATATATTTCTGGAAAGTTTCTGGTGGCCTCGAGAATCCTAATTTTTTAATTTTAATGTTTTGCTATTTGAATTTGAATTTCAGCAAATTCAAAGTATGAAATAAAGAAAAAATATTTTTTTATTCTTTTATCATAATTTTTATCATTTTATTACATATAAATAAGTAAATAAATGCCTATAGATTTGATAAGATGTCGCTCGAGCCAGGATTTTTTCGAAGAGTCGGACTGATAAGACATTATCAAATTCCGTCAATTAATAATGATAAAATAAACGACATTACAAGAAATGAGGTAAATGAATTATTCCCTATTTACTTTATTTTAACTTTATTTATTTTCTTATAAAAAATTTTATTCTGAATTTTATAAATAAAAATATGCATTGCACCTGCTAATTTTTATTTGATTTGCGTAAATATCTTTTAAAAAATTAATTTGATTTTTGATAAACGAAATTAAATTCATCAAATATTTAATAATCCTCAGTACTGCAATTTTTCCACAGTTTTTGGCTCATTTCGCTCATTCTATTTATAATTTTACAAATATTACCTTTGATTTCTACCTCAAGCTCATGATTTGTTCTTGCTAAAACTCTGTGCCATTATGTGATTTATGATTTTCACTTATCTAATTGAGTATTATTATTAATCAATTGATTAGAATATGATAGAGCTGTTATTTTTCTTATTTGTATTTATATTAGATCCACCATTAATATTGAATAATGATTTTCTAATCCAATTAAGAAAAACTGGCAATTTTATAAATCATAGAAATATGACCTAGTTACATATTTCCGAAAACCTATTATACAGACGTTGTGCACGCACGCAAAAATCAGTCGTATGCAAAAATTCGATTCATTAGACAATTTTTCTGGTAATAGATGAAACTAAAGCCATGTTGAAAGGAATGAATTCCTTTAAGAAACAATACGTCCAATGAACTACCATAAATCTTCCGTAGTCAATTTATTTACGGTGATTTGGAGAAAAAGAGGAAAGGCAAAAAAATATGATTTCTTTTCTCATTTGGCAAATTAGGTCATATTTGATTTTTCCCTTTAATTGTATTTTTACATACTTATATTTTTGCCAAAAATTGGATTGGCACTTTTTAATGACCTACAATAAGAATAAACGAAATTTTTATTGTAAATTGAAGAATGTATAAATTAAATTAAAGTCATATCAAAGTTATTCTAATGTGCGTTTTGTTTGGCTTACAGGATGAGTATCTCACCAGAATTATTCTTATAGGTGCATAGAAGATCGGTCGCAAAGCAGCAATCTCAATCCATGAATTTTATTCATGGACTGAGAAAATTGCGCGATTTAGCATAGCGATTTTCTTAATTTTTTATATTTTTTATATTTATTTATATTTCAAGAAATCCATTTTATTCCCATCGGAAAATTTAGTTGGTATATAGTAGTATTTATCTGAAAAAAAAACCATTTTCATCTTTACCTTTGCTCATATTTTTTTAAAAAATTTCATAATACAACTATTTTTTATAATTTTTATGATCTTTTATAACTGTGGTAATAAATTTTCCTTAAGTTACCGAGATTTTTAACTGTTTACAATCCGCAAAAAGCTTCGATTAACAACAACAATCAACAAGCAATAGACAATCACTTTTCAGGTGAAGGAAATTCAATTTTTCGAATTTGTTTTTTTTATAAATTATTAGAGACGAAATAATGGAAATGGTACAAAAATTTAATTTAGGCTTTTAAAAATAATATTTTATTAAATTATATTTTAAATCATATTTTTGGAATTAAAATTAAAACGGCTCGAATATTAATGAAAAACCCCTTTGAAAGTGGTAATCCAAACGAGCGCTCATTTTTAAATTTTTAAAAATGAAAAAAAAATGAAAAAAATATTTCTGGAAAAATTTGGAGATAATTTGGAGATATCAATGGCCTTTATCATTTGAATTTATTCTTCTAAGTTTAAAGTATATGACCAAAAGTATAGGCTAAAAGTAGCAAATTTTCCTGAATTTATAACTTTGCGAAGCCTTCAAAAGCCTATGGTGGCAGAACGGCCCAGTGGCATATTGGCATAATTGAGGCCAAGCCAATATAATATAATATGCTTATTTTTTTCAATTTATAACCAAAATTAAGCAAAAATTCAAAGTTTGATTGACAAAAAAGAAAAAAAATTTCTAAACAAATTTTATTATTTATTATTATATTTATTATTTAATTTATCAAATAAATTCGAATAATTCGATATCTATGAAATCCGAGAAATGGCCATTATTACTTGGATTTGTTCCTTGAAGGCCTTAAAAATGTTTTTTTTAGGTTTTAATGCTCCACGAAATTTCACGAATCAAAAATTATTGCTTAATGCTTCAGCGGTAATAAATAATGATTGTCAAAAACGATTGAATGATTATTATAACTATCATTATCAGTATAATCCACGAATAGTATTAAATAATGATCGATTGAAAAATGTAAATTTTTTAATTTTTGAACAATTTTCATCGCAGTTAATTGACAATGGTTCGTATAGTTTATATTTTATAGTTTTATATTAGCAATAGAAATGCACCTGTCATAAAAATGAAAATCTATAGAGTGGCTTCTATTACTACTAGCGATGGCGTCGGACGAGCAGCTTGGAGAAGTCTTAGCGATGTAGCCAGCGGAGTCAGTAATGGTGAGAGCTATTAGAAAATGGAGACGAGAGATGAAAATTATATCACCTTTACAGTCCCAGAGGTGAACAGGAAAACTGTCATGAAATGAGTAGGCAGTAATCTAAATTATCGTGTTGAGAAGCGAGGATTCGATTTTTGTCCATTAAAAATTCTGGGTGATGCTGACAACTGTCCTGGAATTCCTATCGTTAAGTGAATCCATGGTAAAAACTTCTAATCTTACCAACGGCCAATCGAACTAGCCTAACCAGGAATAGCCATCGCTAATTTCTAATTTCTTCTAATTACTTATAATTTCTGCTTAGTTCAGCTCTTCTTGAAATTCTAATATTCAAATTATATTATTATTTATATTGGTATTATTTTAATATTAATATTATTTTATTCAATATTAATATTGCATTATAAACTTCAACTATTTTATTATATTATTTATATTTTATTATATTTTAATAATAATTTTATTGAATTATTGAATTTATTCAATTATATTTTAATGAAAATATAAAATTTATTATTATAAAAACCTTTTTTAAAATTTCTTTCATTCGAATGTTTTTTCAGCAAAAAAAAAAAAATTAAAAAATTTCTGCCAAATTAAAAATTAAAATATTAAAATATTTTCGAAAAATTGGATTTTATTAAATTTTAGTTTATTAAACTAAATTTGTTAAATTAAATTTAATATCGAATAATATTAAATGAATTAAGTTTAAAAGGAATGATTATTAAAATTTTTCAGAAATTTTACTATGAAAATGAACGATTAAAATCGATATCGAATAATTTTCGCCTAAAATTAATTTTATGGCTAATTCTTATTTGTGCAACATTTATCGCCATTATTGTTATTTCACTGTTTGCTATCTTTCAGAGTTAGTTTTTTTACGTTGAAAAAAAGAAGTACCAACGGGGATTTAGGAACAACAATAGCAATAAGGGACAACGGGAATTATTATCGACTGGAATCACATTCAGAAATCTGAAATCCGCGAAGCTTTAATTTAGCCAGTCGATAATCAACGCACTTTAAATCAATCCTAGTTGAATGTGCAACCATAAAATTAGTATATTTTAATATGAATTTGCCTCGAATAGAAAAGGATTTTGAACGATAATGGCTTTCGCATAAAATTAGCAATCAAGTTAATGTGAATTTCAAATGCATGAAGCTAATACAAAATTGTATAGGCTCAGTGGATTGGAGCGCTGACGACGAGATTCTATTCCCCACAGGCCTAAACCTGTCCCAAAATTGGATAATGCTGGCGACTAACCTAACCTGCACTTCTATCGCCAAGGGGTTTCCTTTGTGTAGTATGATAAGTCAGCAGAGCGAGTCTAACCAATAACCGTGCTCTTAAAAAAATAAAATAAAAATTGTACCTCAAGCTCATAGAATTTCTGTTATATTATTACTAATATTTTGTGGTTCTTACGATGTGAAATTTCGAGTCAATCGAAAAATCCATGAAAGCTCGTTTTTGAACGAATGTGAAATTGCTTCTTTTTAGAATAAATTTAAGAACCACGTTGAATTATAAAATTAAAATCATATAATAGTTGTTTTAAGTGCATGTGACATCGTCCGAATCATTAACGCAAAGTTATAGCGGACATTTTTTGATAATCGATGGATCACTTCTGAAATTTGATGGGCATTTACTTCGAAAAACCACTCCACAATTCCAATCGCATTCACAGAAAATCCAAAAAATAGTAAGGAATTCATTTTTATCCATTATCCATTAATCCATACGTATCCATTTTTCAAATTTCTTTTACTAGTCAACCAGCAGACTTTTCATTCATTCAGATTTTAAACCTTTGGATTTCAGCTTATAATTTTTGATTTTTTTTTTAATTGTTAAATTTTAAATTTAAAATGGAAATATAAAGAATTAGGAATTGAGAATTAAACTTTTTGTTACATACATAGTATTTCAATTTTTATTGCCTAAGAATTATTTTTATATGAAATGCAAATTTTTTTCTTAAATTTTTCATTCATTCAGCCTTTAAGATTCGTTTTAAAATTTTTAGCTAAATAAAATATATCGACGAAGTAGTTTGGGAAGTATCTATATTGGAAGCGAAATTACACAATATAAGTAAGTATAAATTGCTTTATCCAGTTGACGAAATTCTGAATACTGATAAATCATTGATTAACTGATAAATGAATTGGAGAATCATCTTTTGTTCCCTTCCTTTTTTTTTTAAAGAATCCTCACGGTTACTGATTAAACTCGCATCGCTGGCTTGTTGCACTGGACAAATATGCCAGGGAGTCTCTTAGCGATAGAAAAACAGGTGAATCGTCACCATCACCTGGATTTTTGGACAGGTTACTCTTAATCGACCTCAGCATCGGTCTCCAAATTTAGCACTGAGCCATCCTATCCTCTTTTGTTCATTTCCTATATATATACATATATATATAATTTAGACTTCATTCTAGTTCGGATAATGAGGAAATTTAAAAAAGCCTTTATAAATAATCAATTTCAGGTTTGTTCCACAAGTTCCAGCTCTTGATGTATCGTTTATAATAAAAATATCACGGCACGATGTTGACATAATCGAACTTATTACGATTTTAAGGCATTACGTTCAGCAACGAAGTTTCGATGGAAATTCACTTGATCTTAAGAGTATTAGCATGGAAAAACTCTCATCAATTTGATTTATTATTCAAATATTTTGGCTATTTTTATATTTTTCCCTATATTTTAAATAATCCTAATGACCATAAAGCATAGTTGAAAATAGCCTTAAATAATTCTGTTCTATTTTTTTCCTTCTAATATCCAAATCCCTAAATTTTTTCTAAATCGACTTTCACCCCAAACAAAGAAAGGTTTTCACCTTCATCAATTATTCTTCACCTGCTCCCTAATCAAGTTGGATTCAAAATGGATTCAAACGAACGCGTATTGAGTAAATATTCAGTTATGGAGCATCGCTTCAAATAATGAAAAAAAATTTATGAGAGATACCTATAAAAGCTACTTAGGAACTTCTGAGATAGAAAACCCGAATTTTATATTGTCTATCATCGATATACTTAGCAATTTTTCTGTTTTTCCTGATTATTGTCCGAAGCATAACACCAATGATATGATATCTATTATTCCTATTCGCTATAAAAAGACGTCTTCTTCGTTATGCACCACTTGTGCTCCAAAAATGGCCAAATCACCGCATACTTTTCCTCAATTTTATGGCTGTCTTCGATGCAATAGAGGAACGTTAAGGAAAATGATGCAAAAATGCAAGGATATTTTACATATTATTTCATTTCATAAAGGCATTCTACCAGCCGTACACTACATATGGTGAACTGACAAATCTTTTCAAAATAAAAACTGGTGCCCCGTGATCTTTTAAAATATTGCTTCCCAGCACTGAAGAAGTGTGCAAGTTAGTTCGGTGCATAACATATCTTGAAAATTTCTTGTTGCCAGCTGTAAAATGCAAGAGACACTGAATAGTATACGCATCAAAAATCAGATCAGTGATAAAAAAGACAAAAAGTACCTTTCACCTTATGCACCGTGCACTGATTAAATACCCACTTTTATCAATTCGTTGATTAAATACTAATTTTTATTCATCAAAAATAAAGAAGTTCATATGGATCCACTCTAATATGAAATAACCAAGCGAAATGCGAAACTGCAACTTCAACAACCGCAAACAGAAATGAGTACTCTCGCCTGCCCCCACAGAGCCTTCACTTTAAACTGCATTATCACTAAATTATCATCGAAATGAAAATTCGCCTCTGTATTATGTCTTGACGATGGCTTTTATTGTCGAGAATAGGATCGAATAGAGTGGCTTGCAAATTCCTTTAGCCAGTAGAATCAACTTAATTCAGTAATGATGAGAGCTGTTAGAAGAAAAAGAAAGAAATTTAGCTTTTAGCAAATTTTTTCATTGTTTTTTGGATAGTCTAATCAACTATAAATTTTCTCTAAAAAATGAAAATTCAATGGAAATAATCTCCTTCAAAGAAATTTTTCAAAATTTTTTGGCCTTTTCGTCCATCAAAAATATTTACAAATGAAAATTAAAAATTCACAATTAAGAAAAATTCAACTTTATCAAAAACAATATTGATAAATGAATGTAAGCATAGGCGCTAAAAAATAAAAATTAATTCAAATATATCAAATTTTACGCAAAATAAGTGAAGAAATGTGGTAATATACTATATCGATCCATTGTTTTCTTCGGCCACGCATGCTTTTAACCTCAATCGCGTAAAGTCTTCAAATATTATATCGTCATCGAGCTTTGGCGTGTCATATCTTAAATTTATATCTTAAATTTTTCTTGATTAATAAAATATTTTTTTAAGAGCATTACTGGTTAGACTCGACCCGCTGATTTGTCGCACTAGACATATGTGCCAGGGAGTCAATTAGCAACATATGAGTCGCCAGTATCATGAGTAACCAGGATTTTTGGACAAGTTTAATGCTGCCGGGAGCAGAACCTCAGCGCTCCGAATTGATGAAATTCCTGTTAAAAATGCTTTTAGTACTCAGGCAGTCAAATAAAAAATGGTGCTCAAAAAAAATAAAAGATTTTGATCATTTTTTTCTCTATTTTTTCTTTTAAAAAAACTACATTTAAAGAAAAGCAATGACAATAAAAAACAAACGTATCGAGCTGAATTAAATCAACATCTAAGCCTGCATTATTTTCGGTGGAAATTGGTCGAGGCGTCTCCTGAAATAAAAGTAAATTTAGAAAAAAAATAGATTATATGCAAATGTTTTAAAGGCAAAAGAAATTAAATTACCGAATTATCCGAGTTTTCCGGAGGTTTAGGATGCGTTAACGTGAAAGGTAATTCAGCGGACAATTCACCTCCTAACGCACCACCAATATTCAGTCGAACTTTAACTTTGTACTGCACAACAATTCCCAAATTTTCTTTAGAATTTTTCGACGACAAACTAAAAATTTTCATAATTAGTATAATATTCGATAAATGATACTAATACTATAATAATACTACTCTTCTTAAGATTAAATATGAAGATTAAATAAAGCAATGGTTTCGACATTACCACAGTAACTTTCACGAATAATTAGTGCACCTTAGCAAAAATGCAAGAAGCCCAATTTTTCCCATATCTCTATCTCTATAAATTAAAAATTTTCATAACCAATATAATATTCGATAAATGATCACTAAGAGGAAAAAAAACTTATAAATATTTAAAAAATATACGGCGTAGATGAAGCTAAATTCGTGTCCTCATGTTTTAATTGTCCATCCAAAGCCAACCCACGCTTGTCTTTATTATTTGATAATAGAGGGCAAAGAGTGTAAACTTTCGATAATGTTGCACCTGGCCCAACCGGGAAACCTTCACTAAAATAAATAAATAAATTAAATAATATAAATTAGGAGAGAGTCGAAAAATAGAAACATTTTATTTTTTTTACCTATTATAAATTAAAAAGAAAAAACTCACGAAGATTCTACTTTTGCTACTTCACAAGCATAAGAAGCCGAAGTAAACAAACAAATATCGGCTACTTGAGCAACAGCGACTTTGATTTTTTTTACTGTTCGGTTACTATTGTTTTGTACATGGACATTCACAGCAATTGATTCACCATGATAATACATCTATAATAAATGATTTTTTTACTTGTAATAAATGTTATACTATCATTAAAAGTGAAATTCTCGCGTGGATTGGTAGCTCATTACTTGTGCTTCCATCCTAAGATAAACAAATAACTAAAAAATATTTCAATAAACTGCAACAAAAAGATGGGGATAGCATGTCTCAGTGGGTTATTGCTCGATCCGGAGCGCCAATGCTAAGGTTCTACTCCCCGCAGGAGTAAACCTATCGAAAAATCCGGATGATGCTGGCGACTCACCTGTACTTCTATCGCCAAAGGACTCTCTGGCATATTTGTCCAGTGCGACAAGCTAGCGGAGCGAGTCTAACCAGTAATGGTGAGGGCTCTTAAAAAAAAATTTTTTTATATTTTCTTTCAGATTTCGAGCAAAAATAATATTAATATCGAGCTAATATGTGCTATATAATTAGCTTTAAACTCCTCAATTTTAAATGAAAAACAACGCCGAATAACTCTATTAAATTGGATATTAATTAGTTTACGGCTTTAATAATTAATTTATGAATAATTGAAAATAAAATTTATTATTCGTGTGAGATTAACTTCTTTATCTAGTGAAGCTTCAAGATGCAAAAGGCCTGGACTCATCATAAAGTCTTTCGTTACTTCGACTGTTGGCTGCGGTTTACTTTCAAAAGGACAATAGGTTAGCTTACGAATAGCCAATCGAACGCAACTACTAAAAAAATCCGTTATATTTATTTGTTGAATAAAAAAAATTGTTAAATTAGAGTTAAAGTTTTTTAGATTTCGTCAAATTAATTTTAATTTATTTAATAAAATTTTACATCATTAAATATAAAACAAAATAAATATTATATAAATATAAAATTCTGGTTGGGAATAAGAGAAAAAATTATAAAATAATAAAAATTTACTGCTTTCTTGGTTTGTCAAAATCGCTACCATTTGCCGCTCCAACAATTGTTTTTAGCTCAAAATCGACACCACAAGGCTTTCCAGTGTCCCCCACCGCTGGCTACAGCATATATTTAATATGTTAATATTAAATTAAATATGTTTATAAAAAATTGGCTTAAAAATTTCTGAAAAGGAAAACTTTTCGAAAATATGATGAAATTTTCTACAATGTTCATCTGATGCATAATCATACCTTTCTGAAGTACGAGGTTTGTCAAAAAAAGTCTATCAATGAAGATTAAAAACTGAGCGATAAATAATTATTTTGCACAATATTAAGAAAGATTTGAAATTCATTTAATTGCTACTATATCTAGCACGCTATACACAATAGAGATATGCAAATAGCTTATAGGTTAACTATTTTAAAATAAAAAAAAACATCAATACCTGAAGAGTCACGCTTGAAGCAGAATAAGGGGGTATTTGAAACCAAAAAGGAAATGCGTTATTGCCAAGTTTCCTTCTTAATCGTTCTTGCAAATGAGTATAAGGCCGAGAATTTGTTTCGTCGACAGGGAATACCTATAAAACCAATTCCTAAATTATATAGTTCTCAAGAGAATTTCTTAAATATTGAATATCAAAAAATATTTCAAAAATAAATAAATAAAAAACCTGAAAAGACTGCGATATAAGATCTTTTCTAAATGTTAACCCAAGGACATCAAGATCCTCACGTCCATATCGAAATGCAGCCAACAAATAAGCTGTAACTTTTTTGTTGCTTCTGACATATTCATCATCGATTAAGACCATACCATCTCAAATAAATATCAAAAAAAAAATCTAGAAACAAATTTTTAACACAGATCACAATATATTTAAATAGTATATTTTATAAAACAATAAGGCAAATAAAAAGTAATTCTCAATTCAACGAAACTCTTACCGATTAAGTCCACAAAATTACCATAGTCGATAAAATCTCGCTTTCCTAAGTAAGTAGTTATCTAAATATAAAAAGTATTAACACAATATTAATAGTAAATATTAAATAGAAAATAATTAGTAAATATTAATAGTGAATGAAAAATATTAACATCAACCAAAAAAATTCTTTCTGAATCCCGCATATTTTATAATTGCTAAAAGCAAAAATAACAAACATAATTTAATTTAAATAATGATATTTGGACTTGAAAAATTTTGGGAGATATGAGGCGCATTCTTGAAAATAATTAAAGAATACAAGAATACAAGGAAAACCTTTCCATTTGGACTCGATTTCTTGAAGACTCTACAAAAAAATTAATTTTAATAAATATAATTGAACGATAAAAAATAAATAATAAAGAGATAATATGCAAAATACTACTCTAAATAAAAAATTCGATTTATAAAAATAAATTTGAATAAAATAAAAAGTTTATAAGTATTTTTCCAAATAATTTTATATAACAATAATTTAACTTAAATTTATGAACAATTGACGAATGTTGAAAAAAGCTTCAAAAATGTTTAAACAATTTTTAAAAAAAAACTGACAAGAAATAAATTTTAATAAATCCTCGAGAAAGAAAAAACGAATTAGAATATATATTTGATATAAAAAATAAATAATCGACCTTGTTCCAGCTTTTTTCTCATCTGCATCAACCATTTTTTTTCACTGCTTTCGAATAAAAATTAGCTTATCCAAATATCCATCGCTAAAATAAATAAATAACTCTTTATTTTTTTAAAATCATTCTAAAAAGCATTCTAATAAATCATTAAGAGATATTAATAATTTATTACTTAATTTAATTTATGATAAAAAAGATTATAAAAGAACGACCTTGACATTGATAAAAATAAACGATAATTTATCAGTGAAAGTTCATTATTACGTCGCATGGCTAATAAACGTATCAAAAAATACTAAATAAAAAGATTCTTTATTTTTAATCGAAAAAAACCCAAAGTGGCACCTAAGGATAAAAATTTGCCTTTAAAAAAAAAATATGCGCGGCTATTGAACATTTATTTTTTCTAGATTTATTACCTTAAAAGATTTATTGCCTTAACAGCAGCCAATATGCAGTCAACCTAATCCTTTTTTAGAAAAAGTAATAAAATTCTTCGATAAAAAATTTAATAAAAAACGCTAAATTCCATGCTTTCAACTTATTTAAATATGCTAAAATACACGAACGGCATTATTTTCAATTGTTCAACTTACGATTCAATTAAATAAAATTTCCTTAAATTGCATTTTCTTTCAATGTAATTTTATAATAATCATATAAGGATTCTAATCGACTGAAAAACAAATTTTTTTTTTATACAATATTTCGATATTTAACAATGTATAAAATTGTAATCGAATATATGGATTTTAATTTTAAAAAATTAAATCAGAAATTTTTCGAAATTTTACAAATTCAATTATTTGAAAAAAATAAAAAATATAAGAAATAAGGGGAGAATCCGATGATTTTTATTTTCATTTTTATTTATTCTTTTTTTCAAATTTTTCTTCTTTTCAAACATAATTTTTAGATATTTTTGTAAAAAAGAACCATAGAAAATAATATAATAATAATAATAAATAATAATAATAATAATAAAAATATATTGACGACAAATTTTTCGAATTAAACGCAATTATCACCTTTCATACTCTCTCTTTATCACTATTTACATCACACTTTTTCAACCAAATAATAAAAATCTCAAAATTTAAAAAAGTTTGCAAATAAATTTTTTTAGTCTTATAAATATTTTTTTATTTATTAGTTTATTTATTTTAATTAATTTGCTCAATAATCAAAAAGGAGAACCAAATAATCCTAATTCTTCTTTTAATTAAACTTCAATTTTCTTGAGTTCCATCAAAAATCACAATTAATTTGCCAAAACAAAAAAATATAAATAGATGCTACCATCACAAAAAACAAAAATCCACTTTCATCCGAGTGAATATTTATAACCTTAGGGAATAATCAGAATGACAATAAATAATAAAGCATGCCTTTCTTTAAATGCCTGTTTATTTACACATAAATCAAGTAAAGTCATGCTGCTACTGTTTAAAATAAAAAAATAAATAAAAAGGATAGCTCTAACTAATAAAAGTGGACTAAGACTGTCACTTTTTCCGGATCATTTTAGTAGACATTATTACGATTTCTCTTAAAACTGATGGAGTAAGAATAATAACATATGTAATTTCTTCCAGTAGTTAATAATTTTTAAATTGTGGAGGACAAATTATGGGATTAGTCCTATAAATTGATTCGCGTAATTTCAATTCATTAACTCCGATCGTGCTAAAATTCATAATAATTAGCTCAATTTAATATAATCATATACTTCCTATAAAATCTTATTAGTTATTTATTAGTTCCTATACGAAACTTCATTTTTCTTGATCTCAAATGTCAATTTAATAAATGTAAATATAGTAAAATAGCTAATTTGAATTCTGCAGAATAAATATAACTCCGATATAATGAATGAAATTTATTAATTTTAGTGGTAATCTGCAAAAAAAATTGAGTAAGAAAAATGAAATGAATTTTTATGAATGAAATGAATTTAGAATGAAATTAGATGATAAATAATAAATAATAAATGATAAAAAAAAATTTCTAAATAGGAAAATATGTCAACAATTACAGCGAGAATTGGACTTAAAAATAAAATGAAATGTTTTCGTCTTATATACAAAATACAAAATGTTAATTGGACCAGTTAAATTTCGTTAAGTTAATCATTTAGCGAAAGAAATACAGGTGAGCATCACTCGTATTAAAATAAATCCCAAAAATATTCGTTATCCTTCTTTAATCCGATAAATAAAGTGTTTTCGTCTTATATACAAGGTGCTGATAAAATACCTATTTTTGTCATTGGGGAGAGGAAGTGCTGGACTTCAAATGCGTTGGATCCACTCTAATCCAGGCAAAAGAAATTGAAACCCCGATAATGACACCTAGAGATGTGTTTTCCGGTTGATGAAATCTTTATGGAACCGTCGCGAAATCACCATAAAGATAAAAATACGCATTCATGTAGCTGCAGTTTGCTCAATCTTGCTGTGTGACTGTGACACATGGCCAATGAAGGTGGAAGATATTAAGAAGCTATCATGAAGCCATCGCAAATGATTGTATCCATCTTCGCTCAAATATCACCTGCATTAATAATGTTGTCACCGAACATCGCCTTCTACCACAGGAGCTGACGCTTCGTTATTTATTAAACCCTGTGATGTGATCATGTGATATTTTATTCGCTCGACGGGCCCGTAAAATGTACCTCAGACAAGAATGACAAGAATGGCCAAAGACAATTTTCCTTCCTCGCAATGAATTGATATTTGAATTGATATGAATTGATAAAAAAGAGATATTTTATCATTTTACCATCTTAAACGTAAGACGAAAAGATTTTCGTTTTATTTACATTGATCCTGAGTTCGATTCGCATCTACCTATACCACTTGCATTAATAATTCAATCACAAAGCGTTGCCTTCGTTGGTTAGGGCACGTTCTCCGTTATTCACCACATGAGTTGCTGCATATTTCGTATGGTATGGCTTACGGAATGGCTTAGTGGATTGTTGCTCAATTGGGAGCACCGATGCTGAGATTCGATTCCCCACAGGAATAAACCTGCACAAAAATGCGGATGATGCTGGCGACCTACCTGTATTTCTATCACCAAGGGATCCTTGGCATATTGCCCAATGCGACAAAACAGTAGAGCGAGTTAAACCAGTAATGGTGAGGACTCTTTAAAAAAAAATATGATAAGTGGCCTTGAAGGCGAGGTGAGCCAATCAAGATCTGGAGTGATACGACCAGAAAAAGTTTTTAAGGTATATGTAGATCAGCAATATATGGACTTAGAAAATGGAATGGCTTCTATTGCTGTTAACGATGGCGTCGGACCGAGCAGCTTGGAGACGTCTTACCATTGCAGCCAGCGGAGCCAGCGTAACCAGTAATGGTGAGAGCTATTAGAAAAATAAGAATAGGAAAATGCAAATAATTTACTATCTTTTCCAGTGAAAATTACATCGAAAACGAAAAAAATTTCTATTGAATTAAACCTATTGAAATAAGAAAAAAAATGAAGAAAAAAGTGCTTACTTTAAAATTAATGAAGTCAATCATTTCCTTCAATTATATTCACTTCGAATAATGAAAAAATTTTTTTGTTTCTTTGACTGCTTCCAATATAAAAAATTTTTCGAAATCTTCGTCGTGAGAATTTCGTCAAAAAATATATATCCTGAAAAAGAAAAAAAAAATTTCACTTTCTAACATTAAAATTTAATAAAATTTTTTTTTCATAGAAATCACAAAATGAAATTCTATTCTTTCGTATGGTTAAATTTGAAAATTATTCTTCTTAAAATAAAAAAATAAATATTTAAATATTCCCTAAAAAATTATAAAAATTTCGTAAAATAAAAATTTTATATTTTTTTAAATGGTTTTAACAATTCAAATAATATATAATTTCAATTTGCATATAACGAGATCCAACAAATTTGAATAAAATATTTCCAGAGGTAAAACTAGTAAGTTGAAAACTTAATAGTTTTTCATATAGAATTAATTATTAAAATATTTTTTAAAATATAATATTAAATTATTAAAAAACTTAAATATTTCATTATTTTGAAAAAAATAAATAACACAAAATATAAATTCGAATTTTAACGATTAGGCTTCAACCGCTGACTTATCGAATTAAACAAGTTTTGCCAGAGGATTATTTAGCAATAAAAATACAAGTGAGTCGCCAGTATCATCTAGCCTGGAATGTTTGACAAAAGAATGCTAATACTGGCACTCCGAAATTCGAATAATAACCCACTGAACTATTCTACGTGTTATATTCTTTAATACCAAATTAGGAATTTAATTCTTATAAAATCTATCTACTGACATTATCTTCTAAAATAAATGTGAAATAAAAGGACAGTATAAAATCTGAAACTGAAATCATATTTCACAGCGTTCTTTGACGCTGATTCTTTCTTTTTCTTTCTTTTTCATCATATTCAAACCAATAAAAACAGTAAATCTTTTTACTTGAAATTTGAAAAGATTTGATAAAATAGGAAATTTAACTGCTAACGTTATATTCCAACATTCACCCTACAATTATCCATCATCATCTTTCAGGCGATTAATCATTAAAATTGCTTAGATAAGAAGATAAACATCGAACGCTGTCAAACATCGCTTTTATTTCAATAATAAAAAAAATAAAAGTTTAATTAAACATCGATGTTATGCTAAATCGTTAACGAAATAAGCAATATGCTTATCTAACTGAATTAATCGCTTTATTCTAATTCATAAAATGCTAAAATAATAACTAATCGAAGTAGAAACGAAAATGATTTATGTAAAACAAATAATTCAGATAGCACTTTATTAGAAAGGAAAAAAAATTAGAAAAATATCGAAAATTTTCGAAAGAAAGATTAATGGGCTAAATGTGACTAATGTAAATGAAAAATCTAAAATTCTAAATTTTTTCACTACAAATAACGATGCTAATTCTTCTTTCTTGGTGGATTCTAAGAAAATGATTTATTCTCATAAAACAAGTACGAAAAGAATCCAGCGAAAAATTTATGAAAATGCAGTCACAA